ACATAGGTCCCATGTTTCCCTTATTTGCAATAATTAGTATACATCTAGGATAATCTTAGCAGATGAGCAGAATAGCTCAATAGCTATGTACATATGACCATATAAGATGATGCTAGTTGAAATTAGTTCCAAGACATGGACACAAGAGGTTTTTCTTTGTTGTTGTTGTTTTTAATATACTGTGTGATTTTTTGTTTCTTTGGTATGTTCTTCTCCCTATGGCTTACCTCCTGCTGTTACTGTATTTGATTTTGGTACCCTGGGTATGGTACATACGTTTATCTGAATTAGGCAAGGGAAGGGGAACAGCAAAATGGTGAGACAAAGGACAGGGGGGAACCATTGCACCAGTGCTACTCACAAGACAATACGTGGGAAATGATCTGTACTACTTGGGGGTGGGAGAGGAAGAGGAGAACAATGAGGGAGGAGATAACAAGTTTAACAAGAAATGCACTTGCTACCTTGCTTATGTTACTGTAACCCTCTGAACATCACCTCGTCAAAAAATGCAGGAGGTACATTTCATGTCAAGTATTCTCAGCACAAAAAATAAAAATAATTAAAACTGAAAGAAAGAAATACTTATACATCAGTCTTTTCTTTAAACAATGTCTTTCTGCACCATCTCTTCCCATCATATCACCACTATCTTCTCACTGTAAATGCTGCTATAATTTTTTCTGTAAGGAGAGTTGTAGAGATGGGGGGATGTAATTATGTCATTTCTGCACTCTCCCTTTAAGGAAAAGATTATGCAATTATAAATTTATAAATATGATGGTGGCATGAGCATCATCATAACAAATTGAAATTTATTTTATTTTTCTGTCAGTCGTGGGGCCCTGGGCCTGGGTGCTGTCCCTCAGCTCTTCAGCTCAAGGCTAGCACTCTACCACTTGAGCCACAGCACCATTTCCAGCCCCCAACTGAAATTTTTAAAAGCTGGGGCTACTAGAAACATTACAAACCCAGAAAACAAATTAGTATCTTTGTTTTTTAGATGACAGACTTTTGTACTTTTTCTCACATTTTTGGAGATATAATATTTGATCAACTTCATATGTGGAAATAGTTTTATATTATTTTCTATAGGAAGGAGAGAAAATACAGAGATTTTTAACCCAGCATTTTTGACACAAAATACCTGATGTTATTGGTACTCGGAGATTCTCTGTGTTTTGCACATGTGGGATGGTTCAGGATCAAACAGCACATGAATACTGAGTCACATCACTGTAGCAGTGCCAACGGTCTTCCTGTAACCCTGGCCATAATGGAGGCGCAGCAATATTTAAGTCACACAAGTAACACTATTCCACTAAATCCAATCTAAATGAATTTCTAGAACAACTCTACTTAACACGAGGTCATCGATAACCACGTTGGCTCAATGTGTCACCGCTAATGCTCAGCATTATGCAACCTGAGCCTGTCTGCCTCTTCATGCTCTGCCATGCACAGGGCGCACTAGCATCACCATTGTTACCCTTGCTTCAGTTTTGTCCAGCTGCTATCACCCCATTTCCCACAGCACAGCTAAGACCAATCACCTCGGAGGAAGGTAAATTTCATCCAGCTCCTCACTCTTCATCAATGCCCCCACATCAGTAATGGCTAAAGTCCCCAAACGTAACCACACCCAGTACTCAGAAGCCACTACAGCGAGTGAATTAGGACTTGGGGCTCTGAGGTTATTCGTAACTCATTCTCTTTCCCAGGTTCACCTCCTACATATTTTTCACTACTGTTTGCTTCACTAAGTTGTTCTAGGTTCCTTAGATTTGCTTCTGGAAGGCCCTTTCTTCTTGTCTGTGTCCTTACCATTTCCTCCTCTTTACTTCTATACTACTTTTATACCCCTATTATAGTCTTAGGTAGTTGTTTTCTTTTACCTAACTTAAAGTTTTCTAAAACTTAGTTTTCTTTTTTTAAAAAAAATATTATCATTATCTTTAAGTAGTTGTACAAAGAAGTCACCATTCTACAAACAGTATGTGAATACAAGCTGTCTGACAACATTGTCATTTAATATATGCTACATTCTGTCATCATCAGTTTGCTATTAATATAAAAACATGTCTGTGTACAGCATCTTTCTAAAGCTATAATAAGTGGAATCCATCAAGTTGCTGTGGTCAACCACTTTATTTAGAACTGAAAAGTTTAAGAAGTACTTTCTGCCTTTAGGATATATGAAATCTTATAGCTGGAAAGGATGAGAACAAATGAGTTCTAACAAGGACAGAGTAAGGAAAGAACTTTAAGTAGTGAATGCATTTCTTTCTTTCTTTTTTCAGTCATGGGGCTTGAACTCAGGGCCTGGGCACTGTCCCTGAACTTTCTGCCCAAGATTAGCACTCTATCATTTTGAGCTCCAGTGCCACTGCTGGTGGTTCACTGGAGATAAGTCCCATGGACTTTTCTGCCGGGGCTGGCTTTAAACCACAGTCCTCACCCTCCTGAGTAGCTGGGATATAAGCACGAGCCACCAGCACCCATCTGCAAATGGACTTTTATGCGAGTTACTGGACACCCTGTTATTCCCACACTGGCACGTGTCAGACACAAGCGGCCAGTTCCTTAAGCTAGAGTGTTCACAAGGAGGCTGGCGATGGGCCAGGCACGGCCGAGGGGAGCTGAGCACCAAGTGGGACCAGGCTGTGGGGTACGGAGGACCCGGGTAGGTGTGGGGTTCTCTGCAAACAAACTCTAGATAGCGCTGCACTGGGGCAATCACAGTTCTCACACACAGAGGCGGCTCTCCACTCCAGTTTCAGTGGATAACTACCTGACAGTATCACCTGGAGATTGAATGAAGGAATGCAGAATGGCCAGGATCTAACATACTCTCCAGATCTGTTAATTCTGTTAGAGTTCTGCTGAAATTCACTTTTCATCTTTCCAGACCACTTCCACCATGATGACGCATACCTGCGTTGTGAGTGCATTCTTCTTAGTAGGTCTATGAAGAGGAGCTTTAAATATTCAAAGTCTGGGTTAGAATATGTAAAGATTAAGCTAAATCCACATTTTTTTGTCAGTCAGGGGCTTGAGACTCTGGGCCTGAGTGCTGCCACATGTTTTCAGACTCAACAACTGTAATGAGTCTTTAAACAACAGTGGCAATCACAGTGCCCTGCTCCTGTCAGGCCTGCTGCAGAGGTGGGCTTGATGCCTTTTCTCATTCTGTCTGGTCAGGAAGTTAGTGTGCAGACAGCAGGAGGGAGAGAAGTCTGAGACTGAACTGACTCACAGTGTGATTTATAATACAGGAACCTTTTCTGAGAAATTTTATCTATCTAAGAGTTAAGAATTCCTTGGAGATTTTCACTATCAACTCAGCATTGTGCTATTATTTTGTTATTGGGTCTGTTCAACTTTTGTCTTTCTTACCCCGCACAGAGGAATCAAAGGTCTAAAATTAGTGCAGAGTAGTTCTCGAGTGTAGCCTGGGCTTGGTACTGAGTGCCTGGCAAACGTCAGCCAGCACGCATTAAAGCTTTAAGAAAACGCTTGTTAAATAGGATAGGTAACACTTATTAGCACAAACAAATTATACAAAAGAACCACACTGGGATACTTACAAGGAGAAAACCTTAGGAACTGCACAGAGAGTCCCAAATATCCTAAAAAAATTCTGTGGTTGGTTACAGGAAAAAATGTACAGATGCAGTTTTTACAGAACTCTAGGACACAAAAATAGGTAACCATCTATGACTTGAGTAAGTCCACTGCTTAGCTGGGCATAGTGACTCATCCTGTAATACTAGCTACTTGGAAGGCAGAGACTGGAGGAATGTGGTTTGATGTCAGCCAGGGCAAAAAAGACTCCATCTCAATCCATGGATGGGGATGGTAGTGCATACCTGTCATCCTAGCAATTTGTGATCTAAAATAGAAGCATTATAGACCAAGCTAGATTAGGTAGAAGGTAAGACGCTGTCTTAAAAATGGCCAGTGCCCAGAAAGTGGCTCATGAGGATAGAGTACCTGCTTAGCAAGTGCAAGACCCTGAGTTCAAACCCCAGTGTGTCAAAAAAAGTCCACAATTGAACGATAATTGCCTTCATTTAATAACTTTATGATAGATTCTTATACATGCTGACACTACCTATTTATGAATATGGTTTCCTAAATTCCAATACAGTCTTGACAGACTAAAGCAATTACTCCGATTATTTACAAGAGAAACCTAGGCCTCCAGTGCTCTAAAGTTACCCCCTCGGGGCGGAGGGATGCCCCATCCTTCCCATTCAGCAGCTGCACAGGCTCTCCGGGCCCCTCTCCCTCACTCCACAGCCTTTCAACTCCTGCAATGGTACTCTTCACTCCAATAAACAACCCATCACTTCGCCAGCTCCTTAGCCCAAAATTTCTTGTCATGAAACCTTCAGATAAAGCCTTCCTTTTCTGACCTCTCTCACAGTCCCACATCTATGTCAGCACTAAATCCTAGCAGGCTGTTCTCACAGAACATTTAGAACATGGTCCCTTCCTTGCCTCCAGGCAATCTTGTTATTGGTCATCCATAAAATCTCAGTTTATAGTGCTATCATGCACACCTACACACACAAACACAAACACACGCATGCACGCACACACATGCACGCGCATACACACGCATGCACACACACGCACACACGCACACACATACACACATGCACACACACACACACACACACATGCACGCACGCACACACCAGTCGCTGTCCTTCCTGAGTAGTAACCACAGCGGACCTTTAGGAGGATAGCACTTGTGGTGCTTCAGTGGACCCAACACCTGTTTCAGGGCTTAGCGCCCTGTGCCGGTTACAGGCTACACAAACCTCAGGAGTTTGACTTCTAAAATAAAAGCTATTCAGAGACACCAGCTACAGGGCACCTGTAAAATGTGCTCTCATTCTACTCAGATGACAGCCAGCAACACCGCGTTCCCAGCCCCTCCCTCCAGCTCTTCTGACAGCCCCTTTCCCCAGCGGGGGCGTGTGGGTACTTACATACTCCTCGTAGGCCTCGGGTGCGGGATGGGGCAGTGCTCTGTATCCTGGGGCTGACGATGCTCCCCGGGCTCGAGGGGTGGAGACACCTCTTGCTATAGGGGGCACTGGAAGAGCTCCACGAGTCACAGTGGCTCCTCGAGGGGTGAGGACACCTCGGCCAGGTGGTAGGGGAGGAGGAACGGCTCCCCCACGGCCCCTAGGACAGACGAGTCACGTTCAATGAGAGAAAACCGTTACGCTCTATAGCACTGATACCAAGAGTTCTGAATGCACTCTGGCTCACTTGATCTGTATGTGTCAACTTAGCCATATCATACACGTAAAATATAGTATAAGAGACACACACAATCCTATGAACTATAATGCAATACACGTGTTACAATGGTTATATATGAAATGACAAGGAAGGGTTATTAGGTCTGAAAAATGTTCCTCAGGGTAGGAAGAGGAAAGCAAAGGTTTGAGATGAAGCTATTCAACTGTCCCTGTACTGGTTTATGTTTTCAAGTGGAAAAATGTCACCATATATCAAACTGGAGGCATGGATATCTCCTTCTATAGTTTTATTTTGGTGGTATCATTGTATGTATTGTTGTCTATTGTCTGAAGTCACCTGAAATCACCATTCGGTGTCATTGGTATACTCCCATACATATCCCCTGTGCTGGTGTGGTCCCTGACATGTACATTCTGTGGGTTAACTACCATGCTGGCGACACACATTGGCACCAAGTAGAGTAAATGGAATTCTTACTGCGGTTCTTGACACAGAGTAACCTGCACTGAAAGAGGAAGGGCAGACAGATGCAGACAACTTTTATGATACTCTGAGGCTGCTAGAAAGGTTGAGTGCTTGTCTGAAATATTTTGGAAAAAATGCAGGATTGTTTCTCTTTTTATTATGTCTGAGAGGCTGGTCTCTAGAAAGTGGTGCTTTCAGCAGAAACACTGAGGCTTTAGGGAAAATGAGGATCACTGGGATGTCAACATCTTGCTGTTTGGCTGTTCTTATGTGGACAAGGTCATGCTTTCTGCCTTGAATAGCGGTCAACAACTCTTTCTTGTTTGCAGAAAATGAGCTCTTAGAAGTGAAGGATAAAACGCTGGCAAAGCTTTAAAATTTCTTAAATAGCTTACCCAGCTGACAAATAGAGAACTTACTGAGAGAGCGAACATGAACACACACACACACACACACACACACACACACACACACACACACACACACACACACAGAGCTCTCCTTGATTGGGCAAAGTGAGACATAAATACCCAGAGGTACAGCACTGCCTGCAAGTACCACAGATTATTCACTGTAATCCACTCCCATAGCTCATCAGAATAACATAAAAACACACCCAAAAGAAGCAAGAAATTCCAAGCTGCTTGTCACTGGGCTCTGAGAATCATTTCTTTATAAGCAAGATGTATGTGAGTCTGGGGTCTGCGTCACTTTTTACAGCTTGTTAGATTTAACATTTTATATAAATGTGATCAAAGTTCATGGTCCTGGCTAGACCACTGAATAATCACAGGCAAGTATTTTAATTTTCAAGGCCTGAAGTATAGATTTTCCTATCTGAAATACTTTTTTCTGTTTCACAGTTAGATTTCCACACGTCCCTCTGGACAGGGCTGGCAGGTCTTCCTGCAAGCGGTGACTCTGTCTCCTGTCCCCAACCTGCGCTGGAGCGCCGGCCCTAGAGCCCCCACACCTCCAGGTCACCTCCCTCCTCTTAGGGTCTCTCCTGCAGCATCTCTACTGCTTCAAAGAACACTTTCCTGTGTTTAATTCTTTACCTCCTGCTCACTCCTGAGATGAAAGTCAGGAACTGAGCGCCTGCTTTCGCCATCCTGTGCGCACCCTGCTGCCTGTGACCCCAGGTCCCCAGCCGGCTCCAGCCCACGGGGCTCCAGGCTCCTGGGGCTCTTCCTAGCGTGCCGTATTTAAGATGGTGGGTGGCTGCTCTGATCTTTCATGTTCTTCCTTCCTCTTTCCACAGCCTCCATCACCAGAATGAGTGTTCCCAATCTCCATCATCAGTTTCCTTTCCAACTTTCATTATTTTTCCCTGACATCTGTAATTCTAGTGATAGCAAACTACTCCCTCACACAGAGCTGTCTGGTTTCTGTTACTTGTCTCAAAGGTTCTGTAACCCTCTGCATTTTAGAGTTCCTTGACAATCTTAAGTCAGCCACATTCCAGGCTGATTAACCTTAGTCTCTGGGGATGCAGCGTCCGTGTTCCCTGTACTGAGAAGGGCTTCCGTCCCAGCTGCGCTGTATGCATCTAAGTATCTCAGCCATTTGAAAGATGAGGACACTGGCTCAGACAATGCCAGTTTCCAGCCCAAGGTCAAACTAGCAATCCAGCAAGCTTGGGTTAACTATAAAGCCTTCACTTTACTTGGTCCTTTAATCTTACTTTCAATTCCTTGATGGGCAGGACACCAGCAGGTCTACTTGCCATGCTCTTCAGCTTACAGCAGGTGGCGCTCTGTCACGTCACTCTCTCTCTAGGAGACAAGAGCCATTCGGTCCTGACTATCTGGGCTGCCCGAGCCAGCCTCCTGCCGTGTCTCTGTCCCAATGGCTCTAATGCTTACTATCTATGGAGATGACCACCAAGTAGCCATTTTTTAAAGAAACAAACAAAATTATTTCCCTCTTAAAAAAATCTTCATTATTTGTGTGTATTAGCTCATACAGTAGGAAACAAAAGCCCTCAGAATCTGCACTTGTCTCCTCTGCTGCTGTTGCAACCGGTGAGGTGATGCCTGGTGAAGATGCTCACTCAACTGTGCAAACTAGCTAGCATTACAGCAGGTAGTGCAAAGCCTGGCTCCCTGGTGAAGATGCTCACTCAACTGTGCAAACTAGCTAGCACTACAGCAGGTAGTGTAAAGCCTGGCTCCCTGGTGAAGATGCTCACTCAACTGTGTAATCTAGCTAGCACTGCAGCAGGTAGTGCAAAGCCTGGCTCCCTGGTGAAGATGC